GTTATTCTGTTATCTTGAGGGTAATTCTTTTGGCAAAGATACAACTATCTTCCTGCAACATATAAGCTACTCCAAACCCAAAGTAGCTTTATATGAGGAAAATAAGTCCATATTACATATTCGTCTCTAACCACGGGAACACGAAATCATCCTTTGTATCTAGACACTCACCGTTTATGACGAAAGGTTCGGTTCAATAAAGCACGGTGACTTTACACGACGTCTTAAGTTCGTCTTTCTTTGTCCAAAGGAAATAAAGTCTCAAAGAATCGGACACTGTCGTTCTACCCGAGGTGTCTTTCAAAGGTTGTTAAAGACTGCAATGGGAATGAATTAAATAAAACTAGAAAACTGGGGTTTACCCTCACTGTAATGATCTCTCCTAAATTCTGTGGAAGAGGACTACATAGGCGGTGTTGTGTTTTCGGTTCGTTGGCAATTGACGAAGACACATGGTGAAAACAACAAGCTCTTTATTTTTCTCTCCTACAACCAAGCAAGAAGCAAAAGGCACGCAAGCCTTTTATAGGGCAAGAAACCCGGACAGTGTGAACCAATAGGAATTGACCCTTTTCTCGCCTTGCGCATGCACGCAAGGCCGGCACCACCCTGTCTGGTCCCGGGCAGCTTTTGGTTTGCTCGGGACCATTTGCAACAATTCTGATCCTGCTTTCAACTCTTGCAGGCTCAGGACACAACAGGCGGGAAAATCAATGATGAGAAACTATGCATTTGGCTCTTGTCAAAGAACTTGGGAGACAACAACATAGAACTGCTGTTCCTTGCACTTTTCCCTTGCTTTACAAAACGTTTATAAGAAATAACAGTGAAAACCACAATTTCCCATGTTTCTTTGATTTATATAAGCCTTGATTCACGGACGTATAAATCATGGGCCTTTCAGAACCTCTGTGCAGATTGGCAAGCATATACACCAAGAAACAAAGTATTTTATTTATTATTATAAAAAAATTATGTAGCTGCCCAGCTTGCATATTACAACTCCGAGCAGCTTCCAGTAAGCCAAAAAATAAACAAAAAGGTCCCTGAAATAACCCTTAATTCCTGGCCCATCCAAAAGAATCTTAGAAGTAAGCTAATAGGTGCACATTTTGTACTGAGATGTTAGCCATCAATTATGAATTCTAATATGTGGTTCTTAAGTGATTAGTTCTAGTGGGAGGACTATGTTCAAATCATTGGGAAAAGGGATAGTTTTTTTGTGCTTTTTACTGGGATATGTATCCAACCTAAAACTGGTTTTTAATATTAATCTCTATGGAAACAGACAGAAGAGAAATACAGGAACACTCGGAAGGGACTTGGAGCTTGCCTCCTCTAAGGGAGAGGCAATCCCGCAAACAACATATGCACTTAATGAAGGCATTTGGGATGGTGGGCACATCTGAACTTGTCATGGAGGTTCTCAGACTGATTGTGCACGTGCAGGAATTCTTCATATGTGTACTTAGTTGGGCAAGTCTGACTAAGCTCAGTGGTTCTGTGTAAAGGTAGTTTGGCTCCAGAGTACGTTGCTGTTTTGCTGAATCTCATTCTAATCACAGTTTTATATTTTTGATGTCCATGATAACAGCAAAGTAGTTTCCTTAAATTAAAATAATCCAATATTTTCTTTTTTAAAAAAAGTCCAACATATTTTGAGACAAAGGGGGCGAAGCCTAACTTTTAACCAGATAATTAATAGCCAGCGTATATAAATGCTAGAGCATATCATGAAAATTATCCTGCACTATGCCACATCAGAATGTTGGTGATCTATCAGTGGAAAAATGTCCTGGAACTATGTTCCTTGAAATCTAATGAGCTCTATTCAGGGACTTGGTTTGTTTATTTTTGCTTTTTATATTGCGGTTATTCAGTTATGCAGCTGCTAGTTAATAAACCATTTCACCATGCAAGTTGTGACAGCTAGTTATAATATTCATTTTCTTGCATGACTAAGCATGAGGAAGCTTCTTGCCCCTTTTTAGAAGCAAGGATTCCATCATTTTAAAATGGGCAATTTCAGGTCTGTACAAAAACTGGTTATTTAATGGGAATTGGAAAGGCAGGCTGCTAGTTTTATATTCAGGTAAAAAGGGTAAAGGGGTCCCTGCAGATTTTATTCCACTAGTCGTTACCAACTATATTCAGGAGACAAGTGTAGGAGATGACCAGGCTGAGCCTGAGAGATGAGTAAAATGCGTCATAAGTCGTGAGTCCCTTCACATCTGCAAGAGATCTAAGTCCAGCCCACCTTGAATGCCTCTCTTATCTTTCCCGCATTTCCCTTAACAGTCAGTTGGCCAGATTCTTATAGAAAGCTTAAGCTTGCAATAAATCTTTATACTCATTTGAACTGCCTGAATCTCCTGATTTCCCAAGCGCTTGACAGCAAGACAACTACAGAATAGGGACAATTAATCATAAAGGCAATAACCACTCCTAGTTGGTTATCTTTGTCATTGGGCACCTAATATGTGTATTTGTTTATGCAATAAAGAAATCAGACCTATCAGAGCAAATTTATTGTGCCAACCAGCTAGCTAGCTAGCCCTTTCCTTTTTTCAGGATTCTCCCTTTCATTCGCATTCCTTCTGGATCCTCCTTCTAAGAGTCTGATTTTTGGAGTGACTCTATCCAGTTCTGTTTAATCCGGGGGGGGGGGTATTTTTAGAGTTTTCCTGTAAGCTTTTCCTATTTCTCTAAGCCAGGGGTGTCAAACTCAATTTCATTGAGGGCCACATCAGCATTGCGGTTGCCTTCAGGGGCCGGGTGGATGTGGCCAGGATGTGTGCGGCCTACTGGGTGGGCGTGGATGGAGTGGGTGTGGTCTACTGGATGGGTGTGGCCAGCTCTACATTGTTCGTGTCAAGGGGGCCTGTGGGGGCCTGGGCAGGAGTGGGATAGATCTGAGGGTCTCTGGCAGAAGGGGGTGGGACCAGGGCAAGTGCCAAGGCATGGTCCACTGGAGGATCCTCACTGTTCCTCTCAGGCCATGCGGTGGGGGGGGGGTTATGGAGCTAAGACTGAATGCATTTCAGCATAGATGGCCACCACAAAATTGTACATTGGCTCCTGGCTGGCCTGGGCCAGGGCCAAGGCAGCGGGGGCCGTTCCCTCACTGTTTCCAGGATGGCTTTGCGGGCCATATGAAACCACTTCGCGGGCTGCATCCGGCCCTGGGCCTTGTGTTTGACATGTCTGTTCTAAGCCATAAAAGTTTCAATGGATCCACTGATTTTGATATTTATCTCTTTCATGCAACTAGGGCTGGCTGGTGGATTACTGCCAGAAAGTTGCAACCCCCATCAAATGATTACTCATATAGTTGTGACAAAAGGATTGTTCTACACGTGGACTGAGACATGAACTATTTATTTTTCCATTTTACATGTCCACCGATCTCCCTGACGTGACTCTCCATGGCATACAATAAAGCTAATAATTAAAACAAATCTTAAATAACCACGACAATTGATATAAAATATAAATAAGATCACGAGAGAATGCTCCAAGATCTCATATATAGCAGAACCATCTTGCATGCTCCCTAAAACTCAAGGATCCCCTACTGTGTTGGAAAAAAAAACATGTTTTAAGCGATTTCTGGAAAGATTAGGGCTAATCTCAGTTCAGGGGGAATGATGTTCCTAATGGTGGATGGCAGAAAAAACTCATTCTGAGGGTCCCACTAGAGGGAGTTCTTTCGATGGTGAAGGAAATGCAACAGGGTATATAGAGATTCTTTCCTTTCCATCACAGAATCACAGGCTGGAAGTGTTTCCAAAGCAGAGCGAGCCTTGGAATTCCAGCCGGTTTACAGAGGTGAGTCATGGTAAATGTATATAACAACATTTTTCTAATGAATTCAGTTTACTTTTAAAGATCTGCCTTGAACCATCAATAATTTCATTATAAACAAAGCATTTTAAAACAGTTTATACTTTTTTTTTTTTGCTTTGACATATTCTAATTTTACCAGGTTTTCTACGAGAGGTTATATATTTCTAGAGACTGATGAGCATTTAAAAAAAAAAATACTGAAACACTGACATACAAATAAAAAAAAAAAACATGAGTAGAGAAATAAAAGGAACCAGAACCATAAAAACCAAATGATGGATTTATTTTTATTGGAGGCTGTGAGTGGTATTTAAATCTCTGTGGAGGCGGCTAGATTTTAGATAGTAGGTTTTATTGTTTTAGTTTTTATATCAGGAGGCTCCAGGTCCAAGAGAAGCAGTATCTCATGAGCATTTGTAAAAGACATCATTTCCCAGGCGGTTTGTTCTTGAAATTTTCAGAAGAGCTTTGAAACTGATTTTTTTTTTTTGAGGAAATAAAAAATATGGAAGTTCCTCAGACCGACAGACATTACTGATGGATTATTGTAGGAATTATGTGTTTATATTCTTTAACAACGATAGAGGCTGAGCTTGGTGATGTATCTTTTGCCTTTTGTCATTCATAAAATACAGTATATTATTTAGATGATATGTAAAGGTAGAACACTGTACATTTACACTTAATACTGATCATTTGTTGAACTTTCGAAATGGATTGTTTTTGTTGCCCAACTATCCAGGTAAGTTATTTTTTTTCATAACCAATATTGATAAATTCAGTTTAATTACATTAAGTGTGAAGAAGATCCAGAGTTTGGTATGAGAAAAGTGGCTATATAATTTTTTTTTAAATAAATAAATGCGAGGATTTGCAAAGTCAGGATAAACTATTATTGTAGAGAAAATAAATGTGCTGTCCATTAAAGTCAGATTTGCACTTTCACATTTAGTGTTGAAATATGCTAACTTTAATGATATTATCAGGATAAACGTCAGATTTATTCTCGCATACAAGACAGTCCAATATATAGCTGAAGCCAAATTCAAAAATTACCTAAGACCCAGAATTAAGTATATAACTAGGCAGGTGGTAAAAATTTATACCAGAGCTATGTGTACCTATCTGAATAATCTGATTACTGTATTTTTCAGGTGTCTAATTAAGGATTTTGAAAAACGTCCATCGGTCACTCATCTTTTAGAACATCCCTTCATACGACAGGCCCATGGTAAAGATATGGCACTCCAAAAGCAGTTGAGCAACCTGATTCAGGCACAACAAAAATTAGGTTTTGTGGCCAAGACAAGGTACTATCTAATTCCTCAGATTTCCTCCTATAGAACTCAAGGACCTCTTACTATAATGCATGCATATATTATAAATAAATGTATAAAAATGATTTGAGTTTTTGTCCCACTTGAGTTCTTTGTATGCAAAATTGATACGAATGAAGTTGCGTTGTCATGTGCACCATGAAATGAGGCTTATCCTGACTCATGTGACATGGTGAAAAGCATCTCAGTAAACTTGGGGATAGCCCTCCCCTTCTGAAGTCCATTGCGGATAGCTTGGCTATTAACTATGTCCTTATCTTAGGCATCCCTAGGAATAGGAGGGGGGCAAGGAATGCAATGTGTGCTGTGACCTGCCCTTACATTCTTGTCTATACCATCAAATTGCAAAGTTAAAAGAGTCTAGCTTGTATTATATTATTGAGCTTATTTCATCATTTTAATGCCATCGTGATTAAAAACAGACACCTATGCCTTATATGTAGAATAGGATTTTTCTTAGGATTGAATAAACTCTTCATGATAGTTGGTACAGCTCATAAAACTAGAACATTTACACTTTTCTTATTTGTCTCTTTTAAATGCATTCAGCAATAATCGGAGCTTCACATAATGGTTGTTCTTACACCTGCACTCAAGTGTTCATTAATCAGTAAAAGAAATGTAAACAGGATACATGTTCTTGCTTTATGATTTTTATTGTGTGAATAATAAAAAGTGTTAGTGATGACATATTAGAAATGTAAAAACAGTATGGTTTGTTTAGTCATTGTCTGAAAAGCTGCAATTAATTTTTTTTAAACCTATGTCTTAGTATCGCCAGCTATATTTCTATAAAGCCTTATATTCTATATCCATTAAGAATGACTTCTTTTCCAAATAATTTGAAAGCCAGCATAGGAGGCATTGCTTGATTTTGTGCCGTCCATAGGGTGGCAGAATTTCACTGTTTTCAAAGTAAATTTAAATGCAAATGAGCACACACAGTTTCTGCTTAGCAGAGATTTTGCAATATGAAATTTATCTAGTGCTAGATAAGCTGTAAAGCATTATTGTAAATAAATACCTACTAATGCCGATGAAGAAAATTAAATGCCATGACTCATAAGTTATAAAAATGTGTGCGCGTGTTCAGGCGCTATCACTTGGCTTTTTCAAAACCAAAAGCCTTAATGCAGAAATGTAAATATACAGTAATAAATGTAATTTATAAAGTGAGGCTGATCGGGAGAAATTGGCCTGTAGATTTTTCTAAAGTAAGAGCCTAAATGAATCTTTTCTTGTTGTTTCTGTTGTTGTTTTGCTTTGCTGCAAGGGTGCTGCGTGCACATTTTCTTCCTTCTAGTAGTTACTATTTCTATGAGGTTGGGGTTTTTTATTTTGTTTTGTTTTGTTACAATTCTCATAGTATGAGAATTTGGTAGCTGTAAGAAATATCTTCTGATATAAAGTGGAATAAACTCAGTTTGTATAAGTTGGCCTATTCATGATGTAGAATGAAATTCTATCATTTTAGATTACAATGCAAGGGTATCACTCTTTTACTCTGGATGTGAGGATAGGGAGGGAGGGTACCAGATTAAGTCTAGTGTAGGCTGTTTATTATTAGACAGCTTTTTAGAAAACCAGCCTGCCACTAACAAGGAATTGTAGAGATAGCATTTTATAACAGTTTCAATTTGAATTTGAAAGCAAAGTGCTGCAAGTCTTTATGGAATTTCTCCTATATATTCTGATAGAATTTGCAGGTAACCTCCAAAATAAGCCAAGAACATCTGCTGGAACACAAAAGGTTGGGCATGCAGAACCAAGGGTGTTTTTTTTTTAATATGTACTTTCTTCCAGAGATCATCTGGGCAAATATCGGGGGGGGGGGGGAATAGCATGCTGGAAAACTTAACTGTGAGCACGGAAGTTACCATTTTCAAGTGTGACAACGTTGTTATTGCTAATAATAATTCCTTACTATTATTATATTTTTTATCTTGCCTTTTTATATATAAGTGGGCAAAAATATCTAATACTCCTTCGTTCTCCTATTTTCCCCACAACAACAACTCTGTGAGGTAGGCTGGGCTGAGAGAGCGTCATTGGCCCAAGGTCACCCAGCCAGCTTTCTTGCCTAAGGTGGGACAAGAATTCATGGTGTTTTGGTTTCTAGGCCAGCACCTTCACTACACTGGCTCTCTAGGAAGAGAGTAGAAAAGGGATAATATAGTCATGGCATGTGTGATATAGCAATTAAAGTTGTTGCCAGCATTGTAATTATGATGCTTGCAGAAAGTACTCCAAGCAGTAGGATTCTTAGTAGGTTGATGGGCTAGAATAGATGATCATATTGAAAATGCAGCACTTTTGCTGTAATAGAGGTCACAAGCCCAATTCTTCCCACTGTTTCAAGAATTCTCATTATTTCTTTTTATGTTCTCCCAGTGACAAAAAGAGGAATGTGGATCAGTTATTTCTATGCCTGTTTGAAAGCTGTTCTGTTAATCTTCAGAGAGAAAAGGAAATGTATGCATTGGGTGCTAGATGGGAAAACTGTGACAAGATAATACCTTCAATGTAATAAGGAACTAATAAAATATGGCCACTTGAAAGGAACAATTGATTGGGAAGACAAGCCAGTACAAGAACAATTGTGCCCTAAATAATGAGTGTCTTTGTTATGCCTTCCAATGGTTCCACTTTTGATTTTATTTTAGTTTTATTACATTTGTGGTCCATTTCACTACAACATATAATTTATCTCTCCCATAAAGCTCTGTATCAACCACACAGATATGTACCATCAGTGACATTAGTGCGTTCCACTGTATTTAGTACAAGTAGTAAATGGTTCTATTCTAATATATGCCAAACCAAAAGACCCCTTGTAACATGAATAAACCAAGTGTAGATTTCCAGGTATTGGAACAGCTACCGGTAGTAATGGCCATGCTGATGGAGTTCAACAGCAGCTGAAAAAGCAACCTATGAACATTTTTGTTCTATATGTAGAAGCATAAGAAGAAAAGAGTGAAAGAAACACCAATACTTGAGAAAAAAATATTATCGTAGAAGCATGCATCATTATTATCCATCTGAATAGATCTCCAGGTGTCACTACATGTGGGGCTGGCACTGATTAGAAGTAAACCAAGTTTTATTGTTGTTGCTGGAGCACAGATTTGCATAGGTATTGATTTGAACAAATCTTTTTTAGTTTTTTCAACTCAATGGAATATTAGAAATAAATTATGTAAGGGAACCTCAGACTATTGTCAGTAGATAATTCTCTAAAAGTACAACAGAGATGAGGCAATTTTAATGGGTGGGAGAAACTGGGAAAAGAAAGATCAAGTTAAAAAAAGGGCTGCATTAGGCTGGTGGCTGGGAGAAAAAAAAATCCAGGGAACAATTCCTCAGTGGAATTGATCGATTCTATGGGAGAATGTTTCCGACAATTGCATTCTAAGCTCCTTTAGACCTGGAATGGAGCATGCATAGGCCATCCTTTAGTATGGACAGTGGACATGTCCATACTAATACCTATAGACACAAGAAAAGGGGGGAGTAGAAACACATAGCCACGATACATATACACTCATCCAGATTAGATTCTGACACACATACACAACTTGCACACACCAAGATTATATATGCCCTCATTCTAATTAGATCACCGCATAGATACAGTACATGCATATGCAAGGGCAACATGTATGACCCTATCTTGATTATACTGTCACACATACATATATACATGGACAAGGTACCATATATACTTCATCCTTATACTCTCTTTTTCTATGCATACTCTAATTAGCCACACAGTGAAACAGGTTACTTTATTTGGCTACACAGAAGAAAATACAGACACCTCCTATGGGCACTGCTGGTGAAGGGCTTGGAAAGAGCCTGGAGGCTCTGTCTACCTTGTTTCTTATTGCCATCTGTTTGGCCCACTCAAGTTGTCTCAGGACTACATGCCCACTCCCAGACAGGGGTCCAATATTGATAAATTATTGCAGCATTCAGTTGTATGAAGTTGCTTAGAACAAGCTAGTGTTTCATTCTGGGGTAAGGTACATTGCCACAAGGTGGCTAATGAAACCAACAGGGGGACAGAGAGTTAAAAAAAATGCTGTATTCCATCTCAGTATAGCTATTCTGAGTAAAACCCTGGTATCTTTCTGATTTAAATTTTTTACATTTTCAATATTAAAATAATTTCTTACTTGAAAATGATTTGATAAGGTTTCATCAGTAGTCCTACCTGAGTTCTCTGACAAAATTCATTTGTTCAATAACAAAGAGGATGATTATTATTTTATTAGAACTGGCAGCATAGTATTTGTTTTATGAAAGCTATAGAATCCTTCAGAATGTTTGAAAATTTAAAGGACTTATTACAGGACTGATTTAATACAGAAACCAGCTCTATAATGCAATTTAAAAATAAATAAATATCAGATCTTTCTGCTTTACTGATGTCTGACTCACAGGTTTTGTTTCTCAAAATCTTTAGAAGTAAAGTAGATGTTTTCCACTGCCCAAGGGGGAAAACACAGTAGGAGATTTTGTTTGTTTATTCAGAAAAGGAGTTCAATTGAAAGCCAAGTCAGCAATTAGCTGTGAATATAAGGTGCCCTCAATCTGAAAACAATGATTGTAAACCATCCAAGCATTAAGTTAAAAATTTCAAGGGCACCTGCCAAATCAGTCTTGATGGGCGTCCTGCTGCTGCAGACACTTTTCCAGTGCTTCTAGAAAAGAAAAACGTTTCTGTTTTCAGCCAGTAAGGGATGGGATACTAAGGATATTGTATTAATATCTTGACCAGCTCAAGGTTGACTCAGCTTTCCATCCTTCTGAGGTCAGTTAAACGAGAACCCACATTGTTGAGGCCAATATGTTGATTCTGTAAACCAGGGCTTTTCAACCAGTGGTATGGCTACCAGCTGTGGTACATTGGCACCTGGCAGGTGGTACGTGACCATCCTAGAAAAGTGGTAGCAGGGGAGGGGAATGAT